GTAATGTCCATCTATTGCAGATACGCATGCTTTGTGCTCTTCACTGTGGTTTCAACGTGCGCGCAAGGTTTACTCACCTTGTGAGCACATTCCTTAATCGGTCGAAAATATGACCTGGGGTAGACCTTTAGTATTCAGACATCTGTCTACACCGCCTTGCACAGGTCTGGTGGAGCAACCGCACAAGCATTGCTTCTTGGATTAGAACTTTAGTAACAACAACCCACTGGAGCAAGTGGCCAATCACCACGTCACCAATTTAGATTGCCACGGCGAGCGGTGTTTGCTAAGGCAGATAGATAATGGATGGGGGACGGTCAAGGGTGATCGATTTAAGATCTGGCGTGGGTGCCTGCGAACCCTAACCAGGGGACTTGGCCATATAGATCGTGATGGGCTTCCTAGATGGGGATCAATATCACCTATGTAAAACATACACTGTATGTTGCAAACAGTTGCGCTCATGCATCTCAATCTCTTTGCAACCCTAGTCTCTCAGGATTTTGTGTTTCCACTCTGATACTGCTTGCAACAATTTGACCCTCTCTGTCTCTCTCTGCTCGGTCAAAACAATCACGTGGAAGTGCACGGTTCTCGGTTGCCTAAACTGAAATGAGTCAGTAGGCCGACTTCTGTTCGTACCAAAATATGAAAGTAATGATAGGCCTTCATGGTGTGCAATCTAGAGAATTACCTGCATTGTTAAGATTTCTTCCTTATAGCTCATATTTAAGGAAGTCAAGTAAACAGACAGTTCTTGAATGGGTGAATACCGTCCGGTAACTGTTCAAATTTGTAGTCTCAGGATTCTTCGCTGCCTCAGAAAATTACCGTTAGAGTGGTTTGAGATATGATAAGATTTCTGTATTGTCAGAATCCAAACCGTGTAATTGTAATTATAACTTGTGTAAATTAAGAGCCTACATTTCAGTTAAGTGTACAAACTGGAAATAGGGAGGAAAAAGAGAGTTAAATCGCAAAACATTTAAGTCTTTGAGAACATTTGGGCACCGTTGAGTTACGATGTATGATTATTCGAGAGGGACTACTACTATTGAGATCTAGCTGATGGATGTGAACAGCAGGAAGTGCAATCGGTGTGTAGCGGATATGTGGGGTCGATAAGAATCTTGTCACATTCATTCAATTGACGTTCCCACGGGTTATTTACCAACTCTTGCAGCGGAATTAAAGAGGTGGCTAATGATGGTCAGTCCATATCGAAGCAGTTCAAGATCTTTCTTTAGGAGATTGGAAAAAACAACGGGTGAACAATAAGGTAAAATTGGAAAATAACACTGGTTCACAAATTTGGAGCCAGTTGATTGTCGAATACGAAACTGACGAAGTTTACCGATATGAAAAGAAAGCCGTCGAAGTTTACTGACGAATTGTTGAATTTGTGGAGTGCAATAGAGATTGGCACCGATAAAAAAAAACCCCGGGTATTTAATACAGTTTACCCGGGATACTTGTTCAGAGTCAAACGATACCGGTTCACATGGGAAAGAAGAACATGATAATGTAAAAAAAAGACATTTAAAACATTTGGAGGGATTAAGAGAGTGGTTGAATGTGACGAAAAATTGTTTTGAGCGCTTTCCAAGTTTTCAGAAATTGTGAAAGAACAGGAGAATCGTAGGTGGTCAGACAAAAAAATTCACATCGTCAGCGTATTTGAAGGGAGCAGTAGGGGGTGCAAGCAGACAAGTCACTAATATATGTAGAAAATAAGTATGGGGGAAAGAACTGCACCTTGAAGTACCCCGGAGTTGTTCACCAATGGTTTGGATTTCTTTTCAGACCTAACCTATTCCACTGAGTCCTCCAGTAGAAGTAATCGAAACGTCAAGCTATTAACTGTCGAGGACAACCAAAGGTCTCCAGTTTACGAACAGGAAGGGAACGAGGAATAGAATGAAAGCAGTTGAGTGGTCCAGATACACACTACGGAACGAACAGACATCATAGATTCATTCATGGATTTGGTAATTTTATGTACAAGTGAGGAAACTGCAGCTGGCTTTCATTTGGTTTGGTTTGTAGGCAAATTGAAGGGGATCATACGGGACGTCAAGTGAAGACTGAATGTGCGTAAAGATTGCACGTTCTGCTAGTTTAAGACTAATAGAAGTTAAAGTGATATTACGGAAGCTTTTGGGTCTAACAGTTGAAGTAGAGAATTTTGGAATGGAAACAATTATTACTGGGTTCCAACAGTCTGGTATGGAGCGAGTTTTCAAGGTGTTTTGAAATGGTGTTAATATTTCACTGAAAGAATAGACCCCATATTTCACTCAGAACGGAAGACGAAACACCATTGGGACCAACTACTGGATGTGGTTTACACGGTACGTAAAAGCTCGGAAGTTTCTTCTTTCGAAATGGCCTATACTTTTAACGGCGAATAAATGCTGCAATAATGCTGTCCACATTCGTTGTACCTTACCATATTCGCTTACTATTGCTACATTGCAGAGGCTCTGAGGCGCACGACACAGAGGCCTTTTCACTTCAGCTTTGATCAGATTGGTGTAATACTTGACAGCTGCTGACTCTCTCGATTTGTGATGATTCTACTCCACCGTTACAGACAAATAGAGTTTCAAAAGGGCAGCATATGGTTGAGTGTTTTAGTGAATAAGTTGACTGCATTGTGTAAAGAGGGGCCGGAAGAAAACCACGAAGAAACGACACTAATGGGAAGCTTAAGACGAAGTGTTTCTTGGGGAGAGATTGTGGAGATGAATGGTGATTCGGTTGGTTGCTGTGAGTGTATTAGGAATGCGACGGGAGTACACAATGGGTCTTATGAGAATCAAGGTGTGATCACTAGTGGAAACAAGTGCTGTGAGTTTTAGAGCAGTGTTCTGGGTTATTAGTTATTACCTTGTCTAACACAAATCATCTGTTGTGTGTGTGTGGAGGGGGGGGGGAGTAGGCCAATATCAGTTAGACCGAAAGAGGTTCTATACATATATTTAACACCAATATTCACAGATACGGCGCCAAATTGATCATGGGTTTAACGCGAAATAGAGAAATAGGAAAGGGAAAAACAAAAGATAGTTGATTTCGGGAATTATAGAATTTTTGTTTGTTTACTGTAGGGCCATTTTGATACTTCTGTTGTATTTTTGGGATCGCATGCACACAAAAAGATGCATTCACGACTTCACTGAC